AAATGAAAAAAGGGCGCTGCTGCAGCCATAGCAAAGTTTGCAAGGACTCAAAACTTTAAAATTATAGAATTATTTTGATCTTTTACGAGTAGAGCAAGCCGCTTACACAGTTTTATCAAACGAATTTCGAATATCATGGAAGTTCCTCCCGCCATAGGTCCCGTTTGGTTTTTTTGCTGGATTGCCATATATTCGTGTGGTTTACTAAGTGCAATGACATAAGCTGCATTCTTTCGCAATTTTTTTTATCAGCAGTTTTTGAGTTATGCCAAAATTTACTCAACACATCAAATCTAAAATTTATGACGAATAGTGATGAGACTTGGACTGAGATTGTTCAGACCGAAGTGCCCGCAGCTGAACCTCTAAATGACAAGGACTTTCTTCTGGAGAAGGTCATACCAAAATTTGATGCAGCAACGTCGGTGTCGGACCTGGCCATACTATCATCTTTGCAACCTGCATCTTCACAAAGTAACCTGACTACTACTGTCAACGGAAGCGATTTGAGCTTAGCCGCAAGCTCCACCATCAGTCACAGTCGTCATTCTTTGGCAAGATCAGAATTCTCAAGGCCATCTCTCTCCAGCAGGTCCGAGTTTTCGAGGCCTTCCCTGTCAGGACTATCGAGTGAGTACCTAGTATCTTAAATCAATTCTCAAACCTACTAGTAGGCGAGTATATGGGATTTCTGGGACCAATGTTCCTTACAGTGGGTTCGAAAAGACGAGAAGGACCAGACACTGATCGAAGTAGACTCAAGGAACTGCAAAGAAGAAACGAGTAAGTCGTTTTTCTTACATCTGTAATAATTTTCTTAGTTCCATCTCAGATTTTATGGCATATTTTCTTCAAATGATCTTTGTTTTCTTGCACCTAGAAAAGAAGTTAAGGTTGCTTATTATGTAAGCAGAGAGTTTTCTTAGGATGCTGCACCCAGCTATGCGCTGTGCCTATGCTACTGAGGTAACGACATATTCTTCGCCTACTGGAAGTGAAAATGTTGTAAAAAATGGGACCCAAAGTGCTCGGAAATCAAAGAAGGTAGGAGATCTATAAGGCAGTATTTACATCAAATAGTCAATTATAGTTGATGCAACGTGCCGCTTCATACGTGAAAAAGAGACTGCCATTGACAGAATCGACTAACTCTGTTAACTAGAAGAAATTGGAGCATTATCTTTCGAAATAAATTTACACTTATCATTAAGCTGCACTCTTGAAATATATACTCACCAAGTGTATAAACTTGCATGCACTTTTATTGTCGACAGAATATTCACAAACTTCTTTGTCAGACATATAACCTGTCATTGATGAATGTTTTACGTACTTTATTCCATGTAAAAACGTTTAACCGTATAGTCTTGTAAATATTTTATATATTCTAACTTGGGCTATGAACCTTTACAAAATAAAAAGCTGTAACAGTGCTAGTTATTCTGCTTGAACGGCTTACTTCCTACTGATCTTTTTGATATCATGCAGATAGACAGATATCTAGATGCGAGAGCGGAAATCGCCGTTGCCATTCAATCGTTCATGTGCTTCCATATTTCGTACGAATGATCGCTTACAATATGTATAACTACATTTGTATACTTATCCTAAGTTACAGTTTGGTATCAAAGATACAAAGTGAACCCGTACCGCATCGTAGATGAGCCCAACCTCTCTTGCTCAGCAGGCTTGTCGTGCGAGATCAGGTAGGTCGCATTACAGGTTTTCGAGTACTTGCCAGTACTTGAGTTTCCTTTACTTGACTTGAGATAAGTCCGATGGAAACTCATTTTGAGACGTTTTATTCACGATATCCACGGTCTGTTTACATCCATTTCCAATTTCACAAGCATTTTCTTGTTCGCAGAACTTTCTCTAGCCTACAAAACTGCAGGCGGTTCGTCGTATATACGCAGAGTAGGTACTGCGGACGCTTTTGGCGCTCCTCTGAAAAAACGTCTTCAATCTCTCTATCGTCTGTTTTGCATCTCGAATACCGTATTATTCTGATCTCATACCGTGCAAGTAGCATATCAAAGCAGCGAAAGAAAATTTGTACTAGCATTCTAAGGGCCATACGCACTTACACTGGGGGGG